GTTTGTTTGTTTGTTTGTTTGTTTGTTTGTTTGTTTGTTTGTTTGTTTGTTTGTTTGTTTGTAGCAGTTTGTGTTGAGTTTGTTCTGATGCAGCAGTTTGATCATTAAAATATAAACACTGTTAAACACATGAACAAACTGCCACTTCACCTTTAACCGCTGCTGATATCAAAGTTACATTTTGTATTTGTTGTTTAAAATTTTGTTTGTTTTTAATATTAAAGCAGATTTCCTTACCTGAGATCAGTTTCCTGCAGCAGCAGCACAAACAGCCTGAATTCCAACTGACAAAGTTCACTGTCTTTCATCCCATCTGAGGCCCAGCCCACCACACACAGACCCCGCCCCCTGACACATACACACACACACACACACACACACACACACACACACACACACACACACACACACACACACACACACACACACACACACACACCTGACCCCAGGTTCTAGGTCTGTGCTGTGGTCCTGGAGTATCCACAGACTCTGCAGATCTCTGACGTTTGATTCTCACCTGTCTCAGGCTAAAATGTGACTTCCAGCAGTTTAAGTTCAGGTCCTGGTCCGTGGTTTAGTTTTGTCAGCTGCTGCCCTCTGCTGCTCATACAACAGGAAATAAGCCGGCTCAGTCAGTCGCCCCAGAACAAAGAACCCTGAACCTTTATCTTCATAAGCGGCTCCTCAGGGACTTCTATATACATTATGTTAAATATTATATCCCTGTATATTATAACATCTCAGTGTCACTTCTCTGTGATCAGGACTTCATTCATTCAGTTTAATAACTTCTATCAGCTGGATGAAAGTTTGTTTGTTTGTTTGTTTCATTCTTTTCTTTTCTTTGTTTGATTTCTTTTCTTTGTTTGATTTTTTGTTTGTTTTGTTGTTTTGTTTGTTTCTTTTCTTTGTTTGTTTTGTTTTATTTTGTTTGCTTGTTCATTTTGTTTGTTTGTTTGTTTTTTAGTTCTGTGTGTTGTGTTCCCTTCTTTTGTTTGTTTTCTTTTGTTTGTTTGTTTTGTTTGCTTGTTCATTTTGGTTTTTTGTTTGTTTTTTAGTTCTGTATGTTTTTTGTGTTCATTTGGTTTTATTGTTTGTTTTATTTTAGTTTGTTTTTTTGTTCATTTTGTTTGTATGCTTGTTTTGTTTGTTTGTTCATTTTGTGCGTTTGTCTGTTTGTTTTGTTTGTTTGTTTGTTTGTTTGTTTGTTTGTTTGTTTGTTTGTTTGTTTGTTTGTTTGTTTGTTTGTCTGTTTGTTTTTTTTGTTTGTTTGTTTGTTTGTTTGTTCATTTTGTGCGTTTGTCTGTTTGTTTTGTTTGTTTGTTTGTTAGTTAATTTTGTGCGTTTGTCTGTTTGTTTTGTTTGTTTGTTTGTTTGTTCATTTTGTGCGTTTGTCTGTTTGTTTTGTTTGTTTGTTTGTTTGTTTGTTTGTTTGTTTGTTTGTTTGTCTGTTTGTTTGTTTGTTTGTCTGTTTGTCTCACCTTGGTCTCCTGGTCCAGACTCTGACAGAGAACCTGCCATGGAGGAGTATACCTGAACATCCTGACCTCCACTGCTCTCAGCTGAATCTGACTGGTTCCTACTGGAAAATGATGATGATGATGATGATGATGATGATGATGATGATGATGATGATGATGTCAGACCCTTAGCCAGCAGGAACCAATCACCATCAGGCCTGAAAGAGACAGAGAGGTAGAACTACATTCACTCAAGTACAGTTTAATTTTCTGCAGTGACCTGTGACCTGTGACCTTCTTGCTGCATTGGCAGATTTTCATTTTCATCACAACTCAGAAACAAACAAGACTCAACATATTTATAAACAGCTGTTTACTCCTGTTACAGAAGGAGCACAGCTGTCAATCACTGTGGGAGGGTCAGCAACGACTAATCACATCATCTGAATGTTGGAGGTGGGCGGGGTTATCATACACTTTAGATTTATCATAACTTCCTCAAACTGATTCATCAATCAATCCAATCAACTGATCAGAGACACACAGGTAAGTGATGTCATGATGATGTCACACAGATAAGAACAAACAGAAACAAAGTGAACATGGACTCACCTGCAGGTTCAACTCGGCCAGCTGATGGAGGACTGATCCACTCAGAATGAGAGTCTGTGTGTGTGTGTATGTGTGTGTGTGTGTGTGTGTGTGTGTATGTGTGTGTGTGTGGTGGGTGTGGTCAGTCATTGTGTGTGTGTGTTTCTGTTGGTCAGCAGCATTCCTGAAATATTCTACTGCTCAGCACACACACACACACAATCAAATCAACAGACCTGACAGTTGCTGTTGTTTCCTGCAGGAGGCGACACTGACCTTCAGTCAGCTGGTTACCATGACAACAAGAACAGTCTGCTCGACATCCCAGCCAGAGGCAATAAAAACAGGAGGGGGGCGCGATGACACTGATTCCATCACACAGCACAGACAGAAACCTGATCCTGGACTCTGCAGGTTTCTGTGATCTGGATGTTTGGTTTATTTGTCTGTTTTTATTTATTTATTTATTTTTATTAAGTTGTTTTTATTTATTTATTTATTTATTTATATTTATTATTTGTTGACTACTTCTGTTTTAAATCACAGGTTCATTTAACACCATTAACACCTTTAGAGTCGTGGAGTCATTCTGGTGGTTTTACCTGCTCTGGTGGGTCCCGGGCAGATGTGGGCAGGTCAGAGACCAGTCCTGCAGGGACAGACTCTGTTGAACTTCATCAAGTAATAGAAAGTTCAACAAAACCAGGAAGTGAATTATTTTGTGAGGGGACAGGCAGAAACCTGATGGGGTCTTTCTGAACCACCCAGGACCTGAGGGTCTGTCTGTGGTGGACATGAAACGGTCAAAGGTCACAGACCCATGTTATCTTTATGTTCAATAAAAGATTCTCCTGCAGCCTGACATCCAGTTTGTGTTCATCATGTGACTGAATCAGGCCTCAGGTCTCTGGATCAACACTGTGACGTCTGACTCATCAAATCTTAATCTGACAATATCAATTTTCTTCTTTACAACAAACAAAACTGAACTTTAAATGACATATGATTTTGTTTGTATCATATGTCATAGATTTGATGATTTAGAAATCAATATTTTGGCATTTATTTATTATTTATATTATTTATTTATTTGTGTTATTTATCCAATTACTTATTTATTGTTTCTTTCTTTATTTGTTTTTTATTTATTTTTATTTAAAATTTTTACCAGCTGTATGAAACATGTTTCTCCGGTAATTGCTGATCTAGTTGATGATCATGATGGTCATCGGCTTAACTCACTGCTAATGCTAACAGAAGTTTTCCTGCTGCTGCTTCAGATTAAAACTTCAACTGGACAAAAACAGAGGCTTTTATTGTGAAGCAGTCACAGGAAACTAAGGCATTTGTCATTGAGGTCAGAGGTGACAGCAGTTGACCAACTTTATTAAAACAACCCGAGTTTGTTTGGCTGCACTGTAACACACACAACTGATGTTACCACGGTAATCACAGGTGTCCCCACTGTACCTTAAGGATTACCTTCATCACTGACATGCTTGTAATGTCAGGAAGCTGCTACAGGGCGGCTAAGAGTGACACGCAGTGAGACCTGGAGAGAAGAAGAATGAAGCTGAGGTCACCTGACAGGTGAGTCCATCAGACCAGGACCACAGAGACCAGAGGTTTGACAGCAGCTGACATTGGATCATGTGACTGAGCTGAAGGAATCATTAACGAACAACCATCAGTTTAATGCTTCTCTTGTTAACGACTTCAATACGTGCAGGTTTTTAATGGTGAATAAAGTTCATGAAATGAATCACAAAAACTACCAGTTCAATCAGTTGAACCAGTATGAACACAATGACAGCAGCACACTGCAGAGCTAACAGAACAGTCCTCGTGCCACCAGGACCACTCAGTTGAGCTGGACCAGGAACTGTATCAGGAGCTGGATCAGGTTCTCACTTCAGCTTCTGATCAACATTATTGATGAAGCAACTGAGTTTAACATCAGCACCATCAGACCAGCTGTGTCTTTTTTCTGCTACTTCAGTTGGCCATCTTTGTTGTGTCGTCACCATGGCGACCGTCCATCAGCAGATCAGTTCAGATCTGTTAATGAAGTACATGAAGCTGTTTAAAGCTGATGTGTGTCTGTGTGACAATGTGAAACAGATGTCAGCAACTGGAGCTGAAACACATCACTGAGAACATCTGAACCAGACTGAAACATATGGTCTAGAATCAAACATCTGGTCCAGACTCAAACATCTGGTCCAGACCAAAACATTTGCTCCATATTGAAACATCTAGTCCAGACTACAATATCTGCTCCATACTGAAACATCTGGTCCAGACTAAAATATCTTTTTCAGACCGAAACATCTAGTCCAGACTGAAACATCTGCTCCATACTGAAACATATGGTCCAGACTAAAACATCTGGTCTAGACTAAAACATCTGGTCCAGACTCAAATATTTTATCCAGACTGAAACATCTGGTCCAGACAGAAACATCTGGTCCAGACTAAAATATCTGCTCCATACTGAAACATCTGGTCCAGACTAAAATATCTTTTTCAGACCGAAACATCTAGTCCAGACTGAAACATCTGCTCCATGCTGAAACATATGGTCCAGACTAAAACATCTGGTCCAGACTAAAACATCTGGTCCAGACTCAAACATCTAGTCCATACTGAAACATCTAGTCTAGGACTAAAACATCTGGGCCAGACTAAAATATTTTATCCAGACTGAAACATCTGGTCCAGACAGAAACATCTGGTCCAGACTAAAATATCTGCTCCAGACTGAAACATCTGCTCCAAACTGAAACATCTGGTCCATACTGAAACATCTGGTCCAGACTAAATTATCTTTTCCAGACTGAAACATCTGCTCCAGACTGGTGGGGATGATGGAGGTCATGTCATAGAGGTCATGTGATGTTGTTCTGTGATGTTTGTAAACAAACTCAGACTCTTTTTCTTCACCGTCTGTCACTTTATTTTCTGTTATAAAACCAACAGAAACATGAACATCTCTACAGTTAATGGTTTATATGACGGAGCTTCAACAGAGAGCAGGTTAATGATACAACTCTCAGGACTGCTAATGATAAAGCTAATGCTATGCTAATGCTAATCAGGTGTGTCACCACTGGAAACATGAGTACAAAAGTAAAAAGGCTTCATTAAAGCAGATGAGAATGAAGCGACAGGGAACAGGAGATGATGTCATGTTTTTAGAGGCGTGGCTTAGAGCAGTGGGTGGAGTTTAGTTTGTGTAGTTTTTTTGTCCTGGAAAGTCTCCGTCTTTATCTTTATATGACTTTATAATGTCGTCAAGCAGCGCCCCTGCAGGTCACATGATGCTGCAGCACTTACACAGCTGCTTCTCCTTCTTTACTTCCACTGCTCCTCTCTCCACCTCCCCCGCCACCTCCCCCGCTGTCTCCCCGTTACTCGCTGGTATCGCTACCGGAGGCTTGGTGGTTGGTGGCGGGTCAGGGGAGGCGGGGGGAGGCAGTGCTGCTGTCTGGGCTGTGCTGCCAGCCTCCTCCTTCCCGCCTCCTTCCGGTGATGTTTTGCCGTTGGCGTCGTCGATGAGCACGAGCTCGGCCGTCACTGTCCCCTGCAGCCCCAGCACCTTCTTGGTCTCTGCCTCGTCCTCCACGCTCTGATATCCCATGAAAACCATGGTGACCGGGTTCTCAGCGCTGGCCTCAGCCACACTAGGCTCGCCACCAGGTTTGGCCTCCAGCCCCGTGATCTCCCCTGCGACCCGTGCTGGCTCGGACGGCGGCGTCTCGGGCTTCACCTCCTCCTGGACCTCCACGGTGGGGAGCGAGGTAACGGTGGCAACAGTCTGTGACATCATCGAAGCCTCATCAGCTTTATGGATGAGCTCTTCGACCTCGGAGGAGCTGAGCAGGTGAATGCCGTCCTCACCGTTCATCTCATGGACCACTGAGAGACAGAAACAAGATCAGGATCAGAGTCCGGATCAGGACACCTGGCTGTTACAGTTCACAGCTGATTTGATCACAGCCAGCAGCTATGATGACAAGTTAAACCACCAGAGGTCACAGAGACGAGAACATGGTTCAGTCACCCGTCTCCCTCTTCCTGTAGGTCTCTGATGACTGCGGTCACCTGACAGTCACCTGACAGGTCATGGTCAATCATGTGAAGAGGAAGAGGAGGAGGGGGAGGGGTCATGCAGGTCTCATGCTGAGTGAGGTTTCACTTTAAGAGAAGTCACTGTATGAACACTTCACTGTCTCTCTGTTCATATGAGCCTCAGTAGAAAAAAGACAAAAAATTTTCTGAAACTTTCCCTCCACAGTAACAACAGGTAACTTCTCGTAAAGCCAGTTCTGTTTGTTTGTTTGTTTTTACTTGCTGTCGTCACCTTTCTGCTCATCCTCGTAAACTTTGACCCCTTGGTGAGAGAGGTCAACAGGAAGTGTGGTGTTTGTGGACAGGACCCGGGTTTCCCCCGTCAGTCTGTCCCGCTCTACTTTAATCTCCACCGAGTACATCGCTGTGGGCGGGGGAGGGGGGGGTGTCAACAACAACACAACAACACACAAAGACACAACATGAGACAATAAACAGACAGATGTTAGACAGACAGGCAGACAGATGTTAGACAGATGTTAAATGTAGAAAACACAAACCTGAACTCTTCCTGCTGTCACCTTTTCCTTTCACCTGTGTACACCTATGTACTCTGACCTTTGACCTATAACCCCTGACCTTTATAAACAGGTCACATGATTCATGAGAGAGGAAAGAAAAATCTCTTTTATTATGATTATTGGTGAGATATTGAATCATCTGAATATTGAAACCTTGAGAGAAGTTCAGAGGAAAATGCCACTGATGCTGTTAACATCTGACCTGTGACCTGTGACCTGACACCCTGATGTCTGTGAGACATCAGAGAACAAACAGACACTAAGATACTGAACTAAAGCTGGACCACAGTCTTGTCCTGGGGGGGAGTTCAGCTGTCACTCAGTGGACAGAACAGACGAGTTAATGATGAGTAAAGAAAAGAAAGATGGCGACATGTTTATTAATGACAGGTAACAACCACTGAAGCTGAACACTGCATCAACTGAGACTGAGAGTCTGAGCCTGCTCAGACCTGGACCTGGACCTGGACCTGGACCCGTCACCATATTCCACCTCTCTTCTCCTCTCTGACTCACCTCTCTTCATCTCCTCCGCCGCCTCTCTTGGTTTGTTCATTCGAGGACTTTTGTGAACCTTAACCTCTGGAAAGGCTCATGAGAAAAAGGAGGCAGGCACAGAGACAGAGTAAAGCCTGAAGCTCAGAAGATGAGGTCATCACAACACTCATCACACTGTAATATGATTCATGTAATCTGATTACACAGTAATATGACTACAGTAATCTCATGAGACTTGACTAATAATAAAAATCTGATTATTGTAGTCTGATCACTGATCTGATTACTCTAATGAGACTAGTGTAATCTGATTACTTAATTTTTACTACTTAAATCTGTCGAGTCCGGTAGAAGCTGACCTCTGTACTCTGATTACTATAGTATTATAACTAATTTCATTACTGTAATCTGACTAGAGCAATGAGACTACTGTAACTGGACTACTGAATCCTTTATTTTGAGCCTTAAAGTAATCTAACAACTATAATCAAAATTCTGTCATTGTAATGAAACTACTGTAATTCTGCTTATTTTAGTCCGACTACTGTAATCTGATCACAACAAACTGATTACTGTAATCTGACTACTGCAACATGACTATGTAATTATTGTAATCTGCCTACTACTATGATACCAGTAATATGGTTACTGTAATCACAGTTATAGAACAGAGTCCAGCAGAGTCCTGCAGTCTCACCTTGGACTACCTGACCTGAAGGTGCAGTTCTTTCCTGCTCACGGCTGCTGCGACCTTTGTTCTCTACAGCTGATCAGAGAGACACAGTGAGAGAAACAGTTTGTGGAAAATGGCACAAAAACAGACAGAGAAGAAGAGGTTTACCTTTATCTGATCCTGATGACACCTGGAGAGAAAAAGACAGAGGAAATTCAACTTCAAAATAAAAGTCACTATAGATCAGCAGGAAACACAGACAGAAACAAAAAAACCTGAAACTAAAACTACATCCAAAATACATGAGATTGACAATGTAAAGTCTAGAGCCCCCTACAGGCTGCACCGTCCATCTGAACTATAATCTGAACACTGTAATCTGACTAATGTAATCTGACTAATGTAATCTGAACACTGTAATCTGACGTAAACTAAACCAACAAAAACTTTGTGTGTATATTTAAGTGTGTGTACTTACTGTGGTATGTGTAATAGTCTGACACACAGATCCAGTCTCCAGACTGACCAACTCCTGCTCCAACCTGCAACACACACACACACACACACACACACACACACACACACACACACTGTTACTGTTTATTTTTTCTGAATTTAGTGAATTACCAACTAAAATTACAGATTCAAACAAAAATGTGATAAGTAATTAATAATTACATAATGAATAATTATTCAGATGAGACCTGTTGATGGTGTCCTCCAGGCTCCTGGTCTTGGCCTCGTCCTGCTCCAGTTGTCTCTTGACTTCATCCTGTTCTTGTCCATCCAGCAGCCAGCGCTCCCTCAGAGCCTTTGACTGAACACATTCATTATTTCTTTATATTTCAATGATCAATACTGTGTCAGGAATATCACTGTTCACATGATGTGTGACAAAATAAAGATGTCCACAGTTGAAAAAAGTAATAATAATAATAAATGATAATAAATGATAATCACTGAGATATCCGAGAATAAATGTGAATGTTTTTACTTTCAGCTCGACAGACAGTGTGTCACCTAGACTGGGATCTTTGAATGATGTTCTGATTTCAGCTCATTTATAATAGATTAAAGGAGACAGTCGTGGATATCTTCATCATGACTTCAGCAGAAGTATCCTGATGAAAAATAATAAAGACAGACTTCAAATTAAAAAGTATTTAGGTTTTGAAGTTGAACACTGTGAGAACCAGAGAACACAAAGAAAGAACGTTCTATGTTCTGAATGATTGTTACATCATTCAAAATTACTTGTCACTGGAGAAATTTTTTTTGCTGTTTCAGTTGCGTTCACAAAGTGAAAATGAAATGGATTTTCATTATCAGATTTCATGTTATTTATTATATGGCAGCCATAGACAGTTGAACATATAGTAACAGTAGCATCACTGAGGTCAGCTTCTCCTCACTGACTCTGGATCAGATGATATCAAACCACAGCACTGAACGAGTAACGTGATCAGATGAGAACAGCTGTTTTAAATACTCCAGTTATTTTGAATTAGCGGCTGAGAGTCTGAGAGTGAAAGGAGTCGCAGCGTTTCTGTCATTCCTCAGTTCAAACAGCTGATCTGAGACCTGGTCTGAGACCTGCCTCAGATATTTTTACTCTGCAGCTGTTCTCTGTCTGCAGCCTGGCCACACCTCTGGATCTCCACTGTAAAAATGACTGTGAATGACAGAAGCTCCAGGTTCACTGTGTGTGAATGAACTGGTTCTACTGATGTTCTATTCATTATTTTATCATTGTCTGTCTGTCTGTCCGGCTGTCTGTATCTGTTTGCCTGTCTGTGTCTGTCTCTCTGTCTCTGTGTGTGTCTATCTGTTTGTCTGTCTGGGTCTGTCTGTCTGGATCTGTGTGTCTGTCTGGCTGTCTGTCTGTCTGTCCGGCTGTCTGTATCTGTTTGCCTGTCTGTGTCTGTCTCTCTGTCTCTGTGTGTGTCTATCTGTTTGTCTGTCTGGGTCTGTCTGTCTGGATCTGTGTGTCTGTCTGGCTGTCTGTCTGTCTGTCCGGCTGTCTGTATCTGTTTGCCTGTCTGTGTCTGTCTCTCTGTCTCTGTGTGTGTCTATCTGTTTGTCTGTCTGGGTCTGTCTGTCTGGATCTGTGTGTCTGTCTGGCTGTCTGTCTGTCTGTCCGGCTGTCTGTATCTGTTTGCCTGTCTGTGTCTGTCTCTCTGTCTCTGTGTGTGTCTATCTGTTTGTCTGTCTGGGTCTGTCTGTCTGGATCTGTGTGTCTGTCTGGCTGTCTGTCTGTCTGTCCGGCTGTCTGTATCTGTTTGCCTGTCTGTGTCTGTCTGTACCTGTTTGTCTGTCTATGTCTGTCTGTCTGTTTGTCTGTCTGTCTGTCTGTATCTGTGTGTCTGTACCTGTTTGTCTGTCTATGTCTGTCTATGTCTGTCTGTCTGTTTGTCTGTCTGTCTGTCTGTATCTGTGTGTCTGTACCTGTTTGTCTGTCTGTGTGTCTGTCTGTCTGTCTGTATCTGTGTGTCTGTACCTGTTTGTCTGTCTATGTCTGTCTATGTCTGTCTGTCTGTTTGTCTGTCTGTCTGTCTGTATCTGTGTGTCTGTACCTGTTTGTCTGTCTGTGTGTCTGTCTGTCTGTCTGTATCTGTGTGTCTGTATCTGTTTGTCTTACCTTCAGGTGCTGCAGAGCTCTCCTGTCATCCTCCAGCTGACGTTTCTTGTTTTCTATCTCTGTCTGCCACTTCCTCTTCTCCTAAGGTGTAATGGGAAGTGTAGTCAGACACAAAAACAGTTAAAGTGTTTAGCAAGGTCTCAGGACTTCCACTCTAACACTTCAACTACTTTCACCTCCTAGGTGGTCTTCAGATCATTTTACTCTTCAACTTCTTTCAGCTTTTTCACTCATAAACACTTATACTGTTCTCAGCCCCTACTCTTCCATTGGTTTCAGTGTTTCCAGGGAATAGACACTTCAGCTTCCAACAGGCCTTGAACTTCAAACTAAAATTTTAATCTTTTCAGCAGTTACGCTTCAGCTTACTTCAGATGGTGAGTCCTTTCACTGCTTTACCTTTAACTGAATCTGAAACATCATTTCACTGGTCAGTGAAGACACCCTTCAGTTACCTTCAGAAGAACTTCACCTGTGTGATTTTCACAGCATATACATAGAGTATTCTAATACAGTAATGCAGGTCTGAGACACAGCAGGATGATCGAGTTACACCAAGACACACACAGGATGAAGATAAGAGAGAGAGAGAGAGAGAGAGTGTGTGGCTGTGTGTGTGTGTGTGTGTGTGTGTGTGTGTGGATCAATAAGTGCATTAGTGAGGGAGGTTCAGGGTGTGTCTGTGTCTAAAATATCTGCTGCTGTCAGAGATCATGTTTCAAACATGTGTGCGTGTGGTCACTCACTCTGCGTATTTATATACATGTGTGTTGGTGATGTGTTCACTGACAGTCTGTAAAGTGGACTCACTGCGATGAGCTGCAGTCGATCCTCCTGACAAAGTGCCTGGCTCACCCTGAGAGAGAGAGAGAGAGAGAGAGAGAAAGAGAGAGAGAGAAATACATCATGGTGGAGATTCAGAAGGATTACTGTAACAGACTGAAAGACTGGATCTAGAAATTCAAGAACTGGACCACAAAGGAGTCTGTCAGCCAGTTCTGAGACCTACTGACCAAACAAGACCTGTCCTGTTCAACCTCAGACCATCACCGCTCTAAAACCACTCACCACAGTGAACCACATCATTCAATCAGGAGCACTAGACCAACCAGACCAGGAACAAACCTCAACCCTGAATATAAACTGGCAGGGAGAAAGCAGGGACAGATACAGAACAGACAGACTCAGTGACCACAGTCCTGCTGGACAGGTGAGGTGGAGACAGAAGTGGACTTCCTGCTAAAGTGAGACAAGTGTTATAATATATCAGATACTGATGACATCTGATGTGTTGATCTCAGAACTGGATGACAGTGGAAAGCACCAGCTCTGAACATGGACTCTGCTGAATCTGGACTGCTGGATCTGATCAGCAGCAGCCCGACCTCCAACATGTGACTGAGACAAAGAGAACTGTGAATGTTTGAGATGTTTGAGTCTCGGCGTCACAGAGCTGCTGTGGACCTGCAGCCTGACTGTCACATGAGAGTTAGCCATTAGCCGTTAGCTCGCTGCTACTGAAACCTTTTGTTTCAGTCAGAAAACAGGAAACGGCAGCAGGAAGATGAGGATGATGATGATGATGATGATGATGATGATGATGATGATGTCAGCTGTGTGTTCCTGCTGCTGTTAAACAGTTAAACAGTGAAACTGTGAAACTGTGCTGAGCTCTGCACAAAGCTGCTGTCGTCTCCATGGAGACCAGACTGAACAACAGAGAATCTGAGTGGGGGAATGTAGAGAGAGACAGAGAGAGAGAGACCACAGACCAACAACAACACAACAACAGAAAATCTGAGGGGAAACTTCAGACCACAGACGTACAGCACAACTCAGTCATCAACAACTGACTCACAGAAAGTTACTGAACTACAAACTACAAAAACTACAAACTACAAAAAATATGACCAGTACAGACCAGTTTTCCAGTGTGTATCAGATTTCATCTGATGTGGACTGATGTGGACTGATGTGGACTGATGTGATCTGATGTGATGTGGACTGATGTGATCTGATGTGATGTGGACTGATGTGGTTTGATGTGGACTGATGTGGACTGATGTGGTTTGATGTGATCTGATGTGGACTGATGTGGACTGATGTGGTTTGATGTGGACTGACGTGGACTGATGTGATCTGATGTGATCTGATGTGATGTGATGTGGACTGATGTGGACTGATGTGGACTGATGTGATCTGATGTGGACTGATGTGGACTGATGTGATCTGATGTGGTTTGATGTGGACTGATGTGGTTTGATGTGGACTGATGTGATCTGATGAGGTTTGATGTGGACTGATGTGGTTTGATGTGGACTGATGTGATCTGATGTGGTCTGATGTGGTTTGATGTGGACTGATGTGATCTGATGTGGACTGATGTGGACTGATGTGGACTGATGTGATCTGATGTGGTCTGATGTGGACTGATGTGGACTGATGTGATCTGATGTGGACTGATGTGGACTGATGTGGACTGATGTGATCTGATGTGGACTGATGTGGACTGATGTGGATGTGTTTTCAGACTGTTGATCCAGCCACAGAATTACTAAAGATTTTATCTCGGACATTTGATTATTAGGAAAGTGAATTGATTAATTGGTAAAAATATTTTCACAATAGAACATTATCAGCTCTCTCTCTCAGCTGTGGATGGAACTGGTGTTCCTTTTATTGTGAAAGGTTGATGAATACAGACTGTTCATTCATACAGCGTGTGACACAGTGAACCTGTCTGTGTCCTTGTCATGACATGAATCCGCCCTGAGGCTCCACCCTGCTGCAGCAGCTCAGTCAACCTCATACAATACACGAAATAAACACAGGAAGTGAGCTACACGACCTTCAAAATAAAATCACAGTAGTTTAGAAGGGAGTTTGTTTTCTTAGAGGACTGAGCTGGTTCTGGTTCAGACAGTCCGTTTACATTTATGAAACATTTATATTGATGAGTCACTGTGAATCAAACTAATGATAAAAATTATTATTTCTATTATTTCTAAAAGGAGGAAATTAATGAGCACATTGATTCTACCTGAGCAGGTGAGTATCACCTTTCAAAATATTATATATAACAACATGTTACATCATCTGTTTATCATCCTTACTAGTTTTAATTTGTGATACAGTAACTGCTGGTTTGTTTGTTTGTTTGTGTGTGTATCAGCTGATGTGGGTGGAGAGCAAATAAAACAAGTTGAATTGAATCTGTGCTTTGGTTTGCTGACTGACCAACTAACTAACAAACTAACAAACTAACAAACTAACTAACTAACTAACTAACTAACTAACTAACCTGTATTAACAGTTACATCACAGCTCTGTCTGAGTACTAATAAAATAAAGTGTTTGGTCCATTTATGTTGAGATGATAAAGTGAATTTATTTCCGGTTGTTGTTTGTAGTGACGTCATTGTGACGTAACGTGTCTGACTGACCGTTAGTCTTTCGCTGTTTTAAAGTGAACAGTGTCCTCACACTAACAGCAGAAAACAACAGGACTCAGCCATGCTCTTATTCTGACGAGGACGATCGGAAGTCGTCACTCTAACATGTCAAGCTTGACGGCAGTTATTGATCACAAATCTGGTCCTTCACTGATCAATATGTAATTATCACGGCACATGCTGCTCAGGTCTGTCCGGTCTGTTTCCGCCGAGAAAAGTAGAGCACACAGTATGTTTATCACTCCGCTCAGGTTCGTGTTTAACCCTTTCCTTTCCCGCCGCAGTGACTCTGATTATCCCTGATCACACACACACACTGAGCCGGTTCTCTGTCCCGGGATTCTGGGGGGGCTCTGAGCCGGATTTTGGCGCAGTTTGTGCGCAGGTTCCCTCCGCTCCGCCACTGACTCAGCGGTCTGACGGACTGATGCCGCACAATGACGACACACCGGACACCGGGCACCGTTTACGTCAAACACACAGAGAAATGCACAGAAGAAGAAGATATGAAAGATGTGAAAGAGAAGACGAAATAGAGAGTACTCACTCCATGTCTGAGTCCAAGTCCAGCACAGCCCGATTCATCTGATCCACATCCAGGAGAGAAAGGAGACCCGCCCACCGAAGGGGGGGGGGGTATATAAGAGACAGCAGAAGGAAAAGGAAACAAAAAAAGGAATGAAGGAAACAAGAGAGGAAAGGAGGAAACAATAGCCTAGGAGACAAGAGAGAAGGAAACAAGACAAGGTAACATGGAAAATAGAAAGGACATAAGGAAACTTGACAGGAGAGAAGGAAACATGAAAGGAAAGAAGGAAACAAGAGAGAGGAGACGAAAAAAATCAAACTAACAAGAAACTGAAAACATGAAATGTAATATAGTATAAAGTAAGTATTATTATAAGTATTGTTGGTTTGGAGCCTTTATGTTATTTGTTACATATTATATATCATGTACACATATATAACTAACAGTCAATGTGAACAGACATGAACGATGTTGATAAATGATGTTGATCAGTGACAGTTGTGTTTGCGTTGTGAGTCCAGCAGACGGCAGCAGGATCCTGGAACTAGACCAGCACCCAGCACAAACACCAAGACCAGACCCTGATTTTCATCAGTCAAGATAATAATCTGGACCAGGACCAAAGACCAGCACCAGATGAAAAACCAGATGGAAACATGTTCTGTCTCAGTGTTCAGGAAGAACTGAATCAGCACCAGAATTCAGACCTCCACCAAGTTTAGATCAGTTTAGTAATTTTGGCGTGATCCTGCTGACAGACAGACAAACAAACAAACAAACAAACAAACCAACCAACCAACCAACAGACAAACCAACCATATATAAAACCATTTATAAACATTATGTTTATCGAACACAATAATAATGTTCATAACGTTTGTTAAAATCAGCTGTTGACAAATAAACACACCGTTTTCATAATAAAACACACTGCAGACACAGGTAAAGGGCTACTTTTATTTTGAAAGAACAATTAAAATTAGTGTTACAAGACAAATTTCCTGTGTGTGTGTGTTTGGGGGAGGAGGGTCTTCAGGTTGTCTGATTAAAATGTCTGAGATCAAAAAAATTAAATATTAAGAGAATAACGTCGTAAATGAAAGTCTTCAGACGCGGACATGACTTTAAAGTTTGAATCAAATGAAATCTGATTACTACAGAAATAAAGTCACAATCACTGAGAGCTCAACATCAGTCTGATAAAACAACCATGCACACACTCAGCTCAGATGACCGTTGACTGCTCATTAGTGTTATTGGAAAATGAGCTAAAATGATTTGAATTGGTGGCTAATAATTAACATAAGGCTGAAGCTAGGCTAACAGCTGATATCTGATCACATATTAAAAATAAACTAAAATCATTGGTCTCCTGTATATTTGACTCTGTATAAACTATATAAATAAAACTGACTTGTGTTCTCAGTGTTTTTACAGTGTTGTCTCGTTGTTGTCTCTGTTTTCTTATTGGCTTGTGTTCAGTGTGTCGCGCTCTTTGTTATTGAACTACAAACAGACATAATATTTAGTTAACATATTTATTTAAAATATGATTTCTTCTTTAAATGATAATGTCATTTAAAGAAGATTACGACTTTTATCTCTGAATATTTGAACTTTATTGTTGAAAACTCTCATTTGATTTGATTAAACAGAAAACAAACGAACCAGAACGTGTTAATAAAAACATCAGAATGGTCCTTTAACAGTCACTCAGCTTTTTATCGTCCAATAAAACCGTCTCTTTCACTAAATTATCAGATTACATTAACTTCCCTGAACTCGGATCAGGTTAAAGGTTCACTGATCAATATTTTATTTTCATAAAACTGGACGTGAAAAAACTGAAGATTTTTTAAAAATAAATTTTGGGGATGAGACGTGACGAGCTCGTACCAAAGTTCAGACTCGTGGATGTGAATTTAAAAAAAAAATTCAAAAAATTCAAAATAAATAAATAAGTTAAAAATTGAAACGTGTGTTTTGATGTTTTGTGAAATGAAAAAGGACGGTCAAGTTTTATCTTCATGGTTTCAGTCGTTTCTACATAAAAAAAACAAAACAATAATAATAATGATGGAACGTTCTGAATGGAAACTGATAATTCTGATAATCGATTATTGATCTCCCCCCTCAGACTTACAAACTACATATCCCAGAATGCACCACTGTCAGAACCATCCAATCAGAGAGCTCCAGACTTAAGGGTGAGACTGATCTCACTGGATGAATTCAACAGCTGTGGTTCATGGGTAATGCAGTCCACAGACCACAGACAGGGGGAAACATGACGGTCTGCTGTGTGTGTTACAACAGTCAGACCAGAACAATCAACAACAACAACACCACAGTGAGAATAAAAACAGCTGATTGTGCTTCACTACAAACAGGTGATCAGATCTGAGGTCTGCGTTTAACCTCAGCTGGTCTCACACACGTCTTCATCTCTACAGTGAGAAGATTCAGAGTTTCTGTCTCTGCTGGATCAGATCAACACTGAGCAACCTGTTCTTTTCACTGTGAAGTCTAAAACTCAATATCATACGATTAAAATCCTGTGACAATGAGCTGAAGATCTCAGAATTAAAGACAGATTAATTATGAAATAAATATCCTTTGTGTAATTACAAGAAAAGTGATTGAACCATCCAGATGAAGAAACTCAACAACAGATTAAAAGACAAAAATCATGTCATTCCAAGGTCAAAACTACGACATAAAGATTGTGATCATGATTGTGGAGTAAAATGTTGGAATTATAAAATAAAAATTGTGCAATTACAAGACAAAATCTTATAATTGTGAGTTTGTGTAAATATGAGATAAAGATATTGTAATTATCAGATAAATTACACAAGAAAGATTGTGTAATTAGGAGATAAAGATCACATATGTCCCGATTCTGTGACGTACATTATCACAAGGTCTCGTCTTTTAATCATGAAATCATCTGGAATGAAGAGACAGTTTGTTTTCAGTCTGAGCTTCAGACATGAACTGAATTAAGGATTATTTTTTGTTTTTATTAAACATTGTTCATGTTTATTTGAGGGAAATCAGGACAAAATGGAAAAGACCTGCTGCTAACGAGCTAATGTTTGTTAGCAGGTCTGATCCAGCAGAGAAGAAGTAGCAGGTAAGGACAGGTGAGAACCATATGATGATGTCACACAGGTGAAGGAAATGGTTTCTTATGTAAGAGACTACAATCTTCACTTTAACTGTTAAATCATAGACCTTTAGACCAACAGCGAGTGTGGCTGTAACCATAGCAACATTAAAAGTCTACTCCTCCTCCACCTGTTCAGATGTGAGATGGGCAGGGCTTTGAGAGGGCGGGGCTCAGAACTCAACCTTGCAGGCGGGGAAGGTCTCGTCCTGCATGGCCACGGTGCTGTTGCTGCCCAGCACAGTGACAGACAGCTCCCTCTGCCGGTCGTGGGTCTCCTGGTACCACTCATGCATTGCCAGTGAATCAAAAGTTGGGATCAGAGTCACCTGAGGACATGTCAGAGGAACAGACTAATCAGGGAACAGATCATAAGAATACAAAGACGACAAACCTCCCTCAGCGTCTTCACCAACCTGGACATCCGGCCAGCTGCTCTTCCCCTCCAGCAGCGAGTCCAGGATGCTCCTCATCGACACCTCCTTCACTGGGTCATCTCCGCTGACGATGTAATATGAGGAACGAAGGCGTCTGAAGAACTCTAGGTCCACGGTGGAGGAGGCACTGCTGGACGGCAGGTAGGCCAGGTCCACGTAGACCGCATAACCCTCAGAACCCGCAGAACCTGTGACTTTGGAGGCTGGACACAAGTGAGAAGAATGAGATTATAACAGCTCCTCAAATGGCCACCAGATGGAGCTGCAAGACAAAACTGACTGCAGTGACATTAGTGGGAAAACGTTTCTCCAGAAATAACTGGTCAGTCATTTTACACCTACAACATGAACACAACTGAACTGTTAACAGGATAGAAAAATGTCTCTAACACAAAATGTGTTTTTGTTTTCTGATGCTGGACTTTGAGAACACCAATAACTCCAACCCCCAAGCTTTCAGGTTCATAATGTAGTTGTGATCAAGAACCATTGTCCCTGTTCAAGAGCACTCTGAGTTGTACACAGGGTCAAAAGGTACAAAAACTTACAATGAAAAACCTTAATCCATGTTAGACACTGCCAATGCAATGGGGACCACCTGGAGCATCCTAGTGAGACTCCTTTATGTGGCTAGATTGTCAGAACTATCACGAGAGTCTTCAAGTCAACACATGAGAGATATAGTGGACCAGTGTACGACACTGACCAGATGTGGATGAAAGCTTGGGGGGGCAGAGTAAACGGACCTTGGGGTAAGAACTTAGTTTGGAGTACACTGCTTTCTTGAGTTACCTTCCAGCAGCAGCAAACAGATTTGACCAATACCCTGTAGATTACAGTTGGTCCAAGAATCAGTTGATCTGAAATTTCCTCTACGATATTTTGTGGCCTACCTGAGGAGGGTAGTTTTGCAGTTCCGATTCTGGATCCACCAAGTGAATTTCGGAATGATGACTTTATGTCGAGGTTGGAGGTCATCTTTAGTGACCCTGTTGAACTGCCAGCCTTGGACTTTCCATTCTGGGCTGTGTTACTTCCAGAGGTTCCCTTCTGCATCGTACCTGATGGTTTCTTAGTCTTGGCAGCTGAACTCTTCAGACTTTTGCTTGATCCATTGGCCTCTGAATCCGCCATGCAGGCTCCAGGCTGGGGCGGTAATGGAGGCAGATCCTTGACCGGGGCTGGTGGTGGGTCATGGGAAGAAAGTTGCCCTGCCCTGTGGCTGTACTGCAGACTGGGATGATCTTGTGGATGACTGGGCAGAAAGAGGCTGCTGGAGTCATCATCGGAGTCAACGTCTTCAGTGATGGAAGGACAGTCATCTGTACCAGGGGGGACATCAGAGTCTGTGGCCGTCGGCAGAGAGTCGCTAACTGATGTGGGCGGAGTTTCCTGGCTGTAGGCTGAAGGGCATTCGCTGCTGCTCTGATCCCGGGAGTGGTTGT